GATATTATAACTGATTTTGACTGGAGCACGGACGCCAGTTTGTGGTTGTACTGTTATTACTGTATTATTTTATAATCCTTTCTTACTAATAGATAATCTATGCAAAATTCAAAAGTACAGCGACTTTTGTCGGTGGTGGCGTGCTGAAAGGGAAATGATCCGTATTTCATAACGCTTAATTGCAACCACGCTGTCACCGACGATATTATATATTGTTTTGCAATGCCTCTGTTACGAAGCTATTTTAAAAGAATTATCTAATAAAAAATCGCATTGTACGAATTTTGCCTCATGATACGTTTCCGTTCTGTTGTTATTTATTTGCTTGTTTTAAAGGTTCGAGACGATACAGCGAGAAAAGCATTGGTAAGGTATGATGACATCATAGTGTTGAGTGTTGTCATCTTGTGAGGAAATTGTGGCTTCATGTTGGAGGGCGATAACGATATATGAGAGAGTGCTATCATCATGTATGAAAATGATGTCATCATGTATGAGAATGATGTCATTATGTATGAGGGCAATAACGTTATGTAAAAGGACAATGTAGTCATGTAAAAATATATTGAGATAAATATATTAATAACTTTACTTCACGTAAGATTATGCCGAATAACACAATATTTAAATGTTGTCCAATATCAAATAGCGCCCTATATAAGTATACCTCCTTGCCCTCCTACCACTCACTAGTAATTGCTAGATTGTTTCCGGACAAAGGAACGCGACAAAATGACATTTTCAAAACATTTCAATTTTCGTATTTGTAAACAGGTGTGTATTAATGCAATAACATCATGTCTATTTCTAGACTTCATATTTGCGATGGTTCAGGCATTCCTCGCTATTTCTGTAACAAAAGAAACATTTTTATATTCGCGGAACTTTTAAGAGCAAAAGGAGAACAAAGGGCGAGAATCCTACCTTGTATGTAGAACGACAAAGAGCGTAAGCGCCGACGCCAGTTAACCAAGGGAAATAGACCAAAGAATGAGAATGTGATGGTCCAATCAGAAAACAGTTATCATTACTAGTTACTTGTGGCTTAGTGTGTGATGGCACTTGTAGTGGGAACCACCCAACGTCAATGAATGTTTCTACTCCGATCTAACACATACCCCGCAATGAGTAGATAACAATTACTAAATTGTTAAAATGTATTGAGCTATTAGATTGTATATTTGAAGTGAAATTAGGAACACAAATTTATAAACGAATAAAAGAATTAAAAAAAAAATATGAATCAACTAAAAAGAATTAGTTTAATGAATTAAAATATACTTGATTTTATTTTGATTGAATCTGCCCTTGTATACACACTTTAGCTTAGTGATCTTGACATGCAAGTCCAATTTATTTTACCACGTGTTAAACTTGGAAAGGCTATTGTTGATATCACCGTCATTCACTATTTCATAGCGGTTACTATACTCCGCATATCATGGGTAAACACAGCTGAAGTAATTGAACTACGCCCTCGCATATCGCGTTTCAGATAAAACACCATTAGCCAACAACAATATGATTATTGTATGAGACTGTAAAGATTACCCAGAGTTCCATATATTAATAAGCGCGTGCACAGTAAAACTGATTTGGCTCTTTTCATTTTGCAATTTAGGCTTCTTGCGAGAGGCGGCACGATTTCTGCAAATATAGCCCACAATGTGATTATCAGCACTATCGCCGGTGCTTAATAATATCTTGTTGTTGGCTCATAATTGAGGGCGAATTAATCGTATTAAATCACTCCTTTCAAATCCTATCGCATTATGTCCATCGTTTCCGTAAGACAGCGATTGACACTACGACATTTCGATTCGTGATGTACATTGATCTCTCACGGTACCCCAGATAATAATATCAGATAACAATGGCCGAGGGGTTTGCTTGCTTTCTATTACTTCCGGTACTTACCTCTTTAGCCAATTACCTTGAAATTATGTGTTTACGAGACAAAGTTGCGTACAAAGTGGGCACAAAAACGGATAAGTGTTATTTGCTAATTATAATTTCATATGAAAGTTTGTGCTTACAACTCTTTCTAGGGGGTTTGGATTATAACACAATCTGAATCCAACGTTAAGCCTATAAACGTTCCATTGTTTTTAGTGCCAAACCCCTTTGTTAAGTACAACAACAAATATTTCGTTGGTGTTTGTGAGCTCTTGTGTGATTGGTCAATGCATGGTTAGCTCTTCGAATTCTGTGTTTTACTCCCTATCAATTTGGGCCCTGTTTAACTCTGGGGTTACGTCCAAAATCAACTCTTTCGACTGGAGATCTCTGTTGAAAAATAATCCTTTGTTGTTGCGGTGTACGCAAGACGATGAAAACTTGTGTTTTTTAACATCACTTCACCTATTAGCAATTCACCACTAGACGTGATAATTTCATTTCAACAGTAAAAATCCGTTCTCAAAAATCCAAATAATCACAACTTCATCGAAATCCATTTTCTATTCTTACCCATTGTATATATGGTGTTTATTTATAATAGAAGGCCATCGGCCCATAATATCTACATACATTATTTATATTTGAAAATAAAATTACAATTTTTAAACAATTAACAATACTTGTAGCTCTTTTCGCAATTTCATTGCGTGAAAAGTAAAGGCTCCCAGTCTTTGAAGAAGATCTGTATTTTTTGTACTCATTAATTTGTAATATTTACTGACTGTTGGGGGATTAAAAAAGTTAGCAGGATTATATTTTATTCTTAAATTAACAAAAAAGGAACAAATAAGTAAAAAATGGTATTCATTTTCAATATTGTTACTGTTACA